TAAATCTCAATTTTACAATTCAGCCATTTTTTACTTTGTTTTAAAACGTACATTGCCCTACCATATGATGTATTTAGGCAGCTGGAGAGGCAATTAGCTGCTGATGACCTATTCAGAGGGTGATTCATGGCTAATTGATAAGTAAACACTCATTGTTAATTCATTTGTACAGCAACCTTTGACTAGGGTTGGCTTTGTTTATTAGATATAGCACTGGTACATTTATTGCCTTTTGTGTAACATTAGCATGTGGTTTATCTATACACACAGGTGGTCTGTCTGTACAATAACGGTGTATTTGTGTGTGTGTGTGTGTTTGTGTGTGTGTGTTGTATGCGTGTGCGTGTGTGTGTGTGCTTAGAGACTTACCAGTGAGGTTAGTGCGTGCGCTGTAGGATCCCAGGTACCGGCCATCTGTATTGGGTGTGTAACACTCAAAAAGACCCTGGTCCTTGGCCTGCACTTTGGTGATGTGGAGCACAGCTGAGTCGCGGGACAGCCTCTCCACAAAGATCTCTTTACTATTCACCCTCTGGGCATAAACGGCGTAGGCATAGTTTGGCTGAGCAGTGCTGACGATGCGGATCTCCCTGTCCGGCACTGATGGTAGATACATGGACCACTCAAAGTCCTGCTCCACGCCCTCTTTGTAGCCTGTCACGTTGCACCAGATGGTCACATGAGAGCCCTCAGTCCGTATCAGTGGCCCACTTTGCACCGTTACTACCCTCTGAGCCGCAGCAAAACCGGCTACAAACAAAGGTGGGGTGAGAGAGATGGAGAGGGAAAAGAGAAAGAGGGAGAGTGGATGGGGTGAAGGCGGGGAGAGAGGAAACAGAGAACATGGGTTACAAAACTGCAGTTTAAATATTTAGCACTGGCAGAGTTTATGCACCCCACATCTACCAGGAAATTCAGAAACAACGTGACATGTGCAGCTAAGCATTCTGGAGCGCGCTTACTTGCGAGGTTGAGATGTGCACACACACACACAGCTTTTTAACACCACTAACCACTTAAACATTCACAGTAACTCTTTTTAATAGCTGAGATCTTATTCTTGCTCACTGCTATTACATGCACTCACATGTTAGCCCTTCACCACACAGATAGCACTGCAGCTGCACTACACGGAGGTGAGAGGCAGCCATATGGGAGTTAGGTGAGAGGTCAGTGTGAGCTGGTAAAACACATGTCAACAAGTGTGTCC